ATCAGAGTCCGCTGAGATCCATGGCGACCTTGTGGGTCCTGTCTCTTTAACGGCCTTCTCCTGTATTCCCGAATGACGTGCTTGGTGTCCTCCCGCGGCTTGTCAGCTCGCGTTCAGTGTGTCAAATCTAGTCTTGAGATGCTCTTGAGCTTCAGGCCTTATTTGGTCTCTCGTGGACCTCTGTTGGTTTTCTTCAGCTTCGCCCTGAAGTTACCTGTGAGCAATTGATGGTCTGTTCCACAGTCGGCCCTGGCCTGGTGTTCGCTCCTGATACCGAGCTTCTCCGTCGTCTCTTCCCACAGAGGAAGTCCATGTGATTTCCGTGTCTTCCACCTGGAGAAGCCCGCGAGTAGAGTCACCATTTGTGTTACTGGGAAAAAACGTTCATCGGTCTTGCAAAATCCATCATGTGGTCTCCAGCCTCGTTTCTGTCACCAAGGCCGTATTTCCCCACTTGTGTTTTCTCCACTGTGTGGGGGAAGGACCCAAGCCACGGTATCTGCAGTCACCTCATCTGCAGGTGGCCGTCGGCTTTGAAGGAGGAGACGGAACAAGCATCGATGCGCTTGAATGATGGTGCTGGGGAAGAGCGCTGAAAGAACCAAGAATTGCCAGAACAAATAAACCGGACTTGGAGGAAACGTGGCCCAGCCCCTGGAAAGGGCATCGTGCTGGGTGAAGTGGAAGACCCTCGCAGTCCTGAGAACCCGCATCACAGCCATGGTGAGAATGGCGCAGTGAGGGGCAGTGTGTCCTCCTGTCGAACAAGTGTCACTGTGAGTCACGACACGACTGTGACACGGCTACACGGTGCCCTCCGACATGGCGGTGTCTGCGAGGGTGGCACAGGGCCAGGCCCAGCTCCCTCCGGAGGCACGTTCCAGGGCCCTGTGGTTGGGCTCGGCTTCCCACCATTGCTGTGAGACCGCGCCGCACACAGTCTGCTGGCAGCGTTGGGCCCTGATTCCGGCCTGTTTCGGCCCTTCTTCCATCCTGCTCACCCTCCTGTCTCTGGGGCCCAGTCGACACTGGGCGAAGACTTGTCCACGGCGTCTCCACTGCCAGCACCGCCCCCCTCCCCCCCAGCGTCTCAAGCACCCTCTCTCACACCCTCCGTTCCTTGGCTGCTCGGTCTCGCTCTGCCCTGCCCACCTTGCTGGTGGTGTTCCTGTGTATCACTGGCCCGCAGTCTACTGTTGTTGTTGACGTCAGCTTCCCAGAGCCCCGTGCTGGCACTGCCAGGGCTCCTCAGCTGGGGGACGGAGAGGCTGCAGAGGTTCACCTTCGGCAAGGCTGTGTGTCGTCCAGTGAAGGAGTCTCTTGATTGGGAATTTTGCTTGAGGTGTGGTGTGACTAGTGATGCGATTTTAATCCCCCACAGGATGCTCCCCCCCTCCCCCAGCACTGGCTTATCCCGCAAGGCCCACCCACCCTTTAGTGAGTCACAGCACGGCGGCCAAGTGGGGTTGAGCAGCAGTGCCTTCTGGGCTCTCAGGAAGGCGCCGTGCTTACTGAGAGACGCCAGGGCCGGGGGCTCTCCTGGTGGCTGGGCCAGGATGGTGACCCTCTGCTCCTTCGTGCAAGACTGCTGGTGGCTGGCATCTTCACGTTGACTTCTGACTCCTGGGAACCCCTGTGGCAGACTCCTGTGGGACTGCCCACTGGAATCTTGGGCTATCATCTTTACAAGGGCAGAGAGCCAGGTCTTTCTCCCGCTGAGCCACTCGGTGCCACCATTACAGCTGAGCATGAAGTCCCACCTCCCCAGGCCTCCAGCTCGGCCCCCAAACCACGCTCACCATTGGGCCATTCCAAATCCTAGTGACCCTAGAAGGGCCCTAGAGAGCAGGATAGACCAGCCTCTGGGGTTTCCAAGACTGTATATCTTCACAGGAGCAGAAAGCCTCATCTTTCTCCCTCCAAGAGGCTGGTGGGTTCGAACTGCTGACCTTGTGGTTTGTTGTGCTAGGCATCACCCACGACGGCACCAGAGCTCCCTGGGTCACCGGAAACATTTCCACGACTCCCTGGAAACCTTTTTTCCTGCTGATGTCTTCTACACCTTCTTCTGTAGCCCTGACTCCCTACCTGACTGCCAGTCTGCCATCTCTGCTTGTGAACTTCACCAAACCCACTGCTCTCCAGTCTCATCTGATCAGAGTACTCTGTAGGATAGACTTGGTCTGCCCCCAAGGCCGGCCAGCAGTGCAGATAGCCTCATGCTGCTCCCCAGAGTGGTGTGGGGGGTGGGAACTCTCACGCTTGTGCTTAGCAGCCTGACACGTAACCCCACTGCAACACCAGGGCCCCCAGTGAATTTAAAGACCTCCTTAAACCCAACTCATCGAAAGTGTTATTGTTTCCACCCAGTTACCGTTTCTCGTTCCCACGCTGCATGTGCCTGGTAACAGTCATGGTGGATGTCCTGCCTGACTCTTTGCTGTGCAGGCATGCCCGTCCCTCCGATTCATGCTCGAAGGCTGCTGTACCAGCCTGCCACACATTGGGCAGTCTCTCAGAGTCTGAAGATCCCAGACTCTCTCTGCCTGGGGCCATCGTCAGCTGGAAGACTCCTCTTCACTTCTTGGGAATGACCCCAGTCACATAAGATTGGGACACCCACCCTACTCCACCTGACCTCCCGTTGAGCATCGCAGAGGTCCAGCGTCCCCTTCCCAGGCAGAGGGCTCAGGGCTTTGACACCTTCTGGGGGGCTCAGGCCAGTCAGTGATAGGTTCAAGAGCAAGGGTCGGAGTCTCTTCTGACAGCTGTCTTGGTCTTGTCTCTCAGCCCTCTCTGCCGAATGACCTTTTGCTTCTTTCCCGGGGGAGGTCCTCGAGGGTGCCCGCAGCTGGTCTGCTCCTCGGTCGCCGGTGCCAGGGTCACAGCGGTCTGACACGGCCGCTGGATTCAGAGGGGTGTGCTCCGGCCGTCCTTCGCTGGCTCTCAGAGTCTTGGTTTAGATGAGCGCGTGGTGGTCTGTTCTGTTGTCTGCCCTGTCCCGGTTTTAAGGCAGCGGTGGGAGTTCCTGTGATCTGGACAGACGGTTAACGACTCACCCCTAACGCGATGGGTAGAGCGGCTTCTCCTGGGCGAGGCATGTGATGGGAGCCTGTCTCGAGACTCCGAGGGGAGGTGGGGAGCTTCTCCATCGTCTTTTCCCACGATGTCGCTGACTGACTGCTGTGTGTCCCATGCAGCCGTAGTGCTGCAGTTTGTCTGATGATAAAAGGGATGTGCAGAGTCCTTGGTCTTTCAAGCCGTGTCATGTGACCTGCAGCTCCGTCTCTGTCCACAAAGCCCCACTTCCAACTGCTGGCCCTTCTCTTTGTCTGTGGCCTTCACCCCCCAACCACCAGTAATTAACCACGTGCCTCCACGGATGCCTGATCGGTTTCAGATGGCAGAAGTTGTACAGATCCTCCATTGCTTTATCTTGGCATTAGTGGTGTGTGTGTGTAAATTTGAATAATAGCCATAGTACTTGGCTTTCCATAATTGGCATTTAGATGTTATCCTGATTTTGTAACGTGTGCGTGTGTGCATGCATGCGTGCCTGTTTCTACAATGAGTGCTATGCATTCAGAAATGCCATGTCTCTTCAGTGTTTGGTTGTCTGATCCAAAATGGGCAACACTAGTCCATTTCAGTTCACTGATGGCACAGAAGAGACCCTCAAGTGTTCTGTTCCACATCTGTCAGTTTTCCCAGCTCCGCACCTCACACAGTCCCTGTCCTAATTACTTACTCTCTCGTTTGGAGTCGTGGCACAGCGACAGATGCAGCAGGTGCGGGCGGCTCTTCCCCGGGGGTGTCAGTGCCTCCAGCCTGATGACGTTTCATTCAGCGTTTCTCAGAAGAAGGTTCTTCTCCCTAATCTGTCTGAGCCTGGACGCTCTGGAAGCCTGTCCCCATGGGTGACCCTGCTAGCATCTGAAGTAGCTGTGGCACAGCTAGCAGCAGCCCAGACAGACGCGTGGTGGGGAAAGTGTCCGTGGGTTCAGTGAGCCCTTGCAGAGAGACAAGGGTGGGAGTCACTCTCTCGGAAAGACTGCTCGGGAACTCAGGAGCTCTGAGTCCTAACTCGGAATCAGAAACCAGCTGTGGGGACTGGGGTCGGAAGAGGGCTGCAGGTGCTATTGAGTGGCCAAGCCCCAGCTCTGGTGAGTGGGGTGACAGACAGAAGGACTGCCGTCAGTGAAGGATGGAGTCCTTGTAGCCTGTGACCCGTCCCCAGGGGACTAGAGAAAGGGAGGCCAGCCGGCTGCAGGTGCTGGGAGTTGTTCCCGGATGACTGGCCTCAGGTGGCCAGGGCGGAAGTCTGCTGTAGCTCTGGGTGGTTCAGGTCAGAGAGGACGTGGCACACGGTGCCGGTGAGGCACGTGGAGGGTGAGGCCTGGAGTCGTGCCCCCCTTACCTCATCATTAGCGATGGATGTGCCAGCCCTGCAGAAGCACAGCTGTGCTGGGCCATGTGTCTCCTCGGTCCTTCAGAATGCAGCGGACGGTTCCGGGCCACAGAGAAGAGCTGCCTGCTCTCATGTAGTCCCAGGCTCGGTTTCCAGGCTCAAGGTGGTGGGAGGGACAAGACGTGTGTGCTGGTTAACAAATACAGAGAGAGCATGGAGACCAGTTTCTCTGTGGGGGTTAACAAATACAGAGAGAGCATGGGGACCAGTTTCTCTGTGGGGGTTAACAAACACAGAGAGAGCATGGGGACCAGTTTCTCTGATGAAACTGTCAGGCATGCATTTGTGGTCATCGCTTTAATGTCCCTGAAGCATATTCCACTTTAATGTACGGCATTCAAATCTCTGAAAAAGGACATTGTAGCGTATGGGCCGAGGACGAGAGGGCTTCCGGACGTCCGTGGGCGTTTTCCATGATCTGTCTGCCCCTTTTTGAGTGGTGCCAATGACCCTCTCATCTCCACAGCAAGTGTGATGCCCCAGCCCGCGTTCCACACGCATCGTGAAACTCCTCCTTTCTTTTCTGTTCCAGAGTAAGCGATCGGAAGGAGGCTGGACACGGACTGGGGAGACCCAAACGGAGAGACAGAAGGGGCAACAAGCTACACAGGCGTCGCCGTGACGCCGCCAGCTGTCTCACCCCACGAGCTCAGGAGGCCGTGGAGAGTGAGGAGAGCGATTTCGAAGAGACCGGAAGAGAGCCCCGGCGGGCCTTCCCCGGTGCACTGGACAGTGGACAGAGAGCGTGCCTGAGGGGCTCTAAGGCCCAAAGCTTGGGGAACGCAGGCACTGAGGAGGTTCTTCGGAATGCTGCATCCAGGCTGGAGCCATTTGGTCCACCACCCCATGCAGGTGGTCACTCTCTTTGGAGCTCCTCATTGGTTCCCAGTGGGAGGCCAGGCACTCGTCTGGATCAAAACCTCCCCCACGTGACCAGCGAGGAGTGCTCCTGGGTGAAGGCACACAGGCATACTGGACACACGCATGCCATCGTGGCACGCGGCAAGGACGGGTCTCCCGGAGCCCCAGTCGTGTCTCTGAGACACAGAAGGCCACAGTGCCATCCACATGCACCCAGACCCTCACACCAGCTGCTCCCCGGAGACCAGGGAGCCAATCCCGGCCGCACCAGTGATTGGGCTTTCTTCTCCACCAGCTTATCGGAGGAAGAAGCGCAGTGGGCCTCTGCCTGGCAGCCCTCTTCTGGGAGCTGGCCTGAGGAAGCGGCTGCCCTGATCTGTGACCAGAGACCGAAGAGAGACCGGTGGCGGGGACAAACCTGTCCCAGTGGCAGAGGGGACCTGGATCAACCTATCTCCATATCAGAAGGAACACCAGGACCAGGAAGCAGTCCAGAACTGTCCACAGAGAAGAGGCCATTGATAGATGATGGACACGTGTCCCAGGCCACTGAGACTGTGGAGTCACGGATTGAAGCAGATCCCTCCAGAAACCGCCTACCTGCTGTGGGCAACCCAGAGAGGGCCCTGGTCCCCCGCGAGAGTCAGAACAGCAGGGAGCTAAGGACTGCCATTGTGACAGCTGGCTCTGACCTGCGGGGACAGGCCAGGGATGGGAGAGCAAGCGGGGAGGGGCTCTTGTTCACAGAAAGCCATGGACTGAAAATCATCGTGGGAGTGGAAGAAGGTCGAAGCTCCGAAACCAACCATAGCCAAGCGGCCTCTGGTCAGCACGCATTTCGGTTTCGTTTTGATGTCATCAGACATCCCTCGCTAGACATTGGCAGGCAGATCTACTCTTGTTTCCTCTCATCTAACACCCTCAGGTACTCTGTGTGTTTCTCCAAAAACCCTCTTCCTTCTCTCGGGCTACAGCTCCCACCTCGCTTCCCAAAAGCCTCCCTGACAAGCGGGGGTCCGAGCCTGCCGTCACCATCTCCGGCCAGAGCAGGCCCTAATCAAGAAGGCCCGGGCTCTCGTTCTTCAGAACATTCAAGCCGCCAACCCGAGGCTCCGTTCTCTGTCAGCGTCACTTCTGACTGTCACTTTCTGCGTGACGGGGCTGCTGAAGAGCCGAGGCAGCGGGGAGGGCCCAGTCCCGCCTGGTGCTCACCTAAGGACAGCAGCCCAGAGTTAGCCCGGGCGCCGGCCTGTCCTTTCGGGCTCCCGTTATCCCGCCTGTTTGCCCTTCGGCTAGTCAAGCTTTTGGGATCTCCGGGAGTCCTGATGGGTACTGAATTGCTGTCCATTTGCTAAGGGGGAAAGGTCCGATTTGGCATGCAAGAGCTGAGTTTAGAAGCGCTCCTCCCCAGACTTAGTGACTGACCCAGGTCCACCGGGGTGGGGGTGGGCGGTGCTGCACAGCCAGGAAGCGGAGGAGCAGAGCGGGCACACCTTGTCTGTGGTGCCCCCCACGCCCCTGCCACCACCCTCACCACGAGCTCCCTCCTCCCCTCACTGGACACATGCACAGCCAATCACCCCCTCACTGGACACACGCACAGCCAATCACCGTGCCTTCTGCGGGGGCCTGCTGCCACCCTCAACAGCCAGCGCACCGCCCTCCCCAGAGTTCCCATCCAGCATTTCGAGTGGCTACTGTCAATTTTATCACAGAATTCCTTATAAAAAGTAGGCTTTCGGCAGACACCCTTTCCAAATTAGACTGAATTATTATTTGGTTCACAGGGAAACGTGGCCTCTTTCTACCCCGGTAAGGATTCAGAGCCTCGGACGCCCATGGGGGCAGTTCTACCCTGCCCTGCAGCGTCCCCGTGAGTCAGACTCTGCCCTCTCTGGGCCCTTAGTGTGAGTTTTGCTTCAGATTATTTGGCTCAAAGATGGCTTCCAAGGGTCGTTTCAGATCCAGGGTTAACTATTCCCTGAATAATTTGACCGTGCCCGCCATGCTTTGTGGCTCCAAGTCTGGATGCTGTCAAGATTTTGCAATGCCAGTCTTCTGGTTAGGATTCTTCTAGAGAATCTGATTGGCTTTAAAAATTCAGTCACAGGACTGATGAGCACCGTCCAGTTCTCCTGGTGCAAAGGAGGCGGTTGGTCCCTCGTGCTGGTGATCGGACACATGTTCCAACCGACAGCTTAAGAAAAAGGACCTTGTGGAGTTCTCTCCTGCACACGGGCCTAGGGAAGGAGGAGGCAGGCAAGCAGTGGTGACACCCCAAACAGACCTGTGTCACCGGGACATTCCCTCCTTTTCACATTCCCCCCCTTTGGCACACGGCCTCACCCTCTCTCCTTCCCAGGGTGGCTCGGGCGGGAGGGGCGTAGGGTGGAAGGCAGAGCTGATTTGAAGAAGGAGAAAGCAGCTGAAGGAAATCCCCACAGAAGAACAAACGGCCGTTGGCAAGAAGGGGGACAGGGTGGGAGGCAGGGAGTCTGCCCCATGTGGCCCAGCAGAACTGTCCCGTGGCGCCCCTAGGCGGGCCGGCTCTCGCCCTGGAGCTGCCTGGTGTGTCCCAGCCACCAGCCTTTTGTTGGGCAGCGGAGTGCTTAACTGCTGCGTCACCAGGGCTACTGCACCCATGTGTCGTCAGATGGGGAAACATAATTGCGGATAGAAGCAGTGAACAGTGATTGTTAATATGTGAGTACATTTCTGCTCAGTAATGAGCTTGGTTAAGATGCCAAACAGGAAGGGAGCACCCCCCTCACCCCCCACCCCCAGCTCTGCTGGGCCTCAGACTGGGACACTGTCAGGACCCCTCCTTCCTGAGCTGCCCCGGAAGGTCCGTCCCAGAGATCAGGGCCATGTAGGCGGCCTTGCGCAGTGATGCGTCTACTCCAGCCAGAGCCCCTCAGAGGGCCTGCTGGCGGGCTGCTTCTGAAACGCCCCCACCCCCGAAAACCCCGTCAGAATGGGGCTCTGGGCACGGGGTGCTCCTTCCCAGGAGGTGGAGAGGCTCCCTTCCTGTGTGCCTTCCTCTCCCAGGGTTACCCCTTGCCCCCGACAAGCTTGGTCCCCGGAAGCGCTCGCTGGGAACACTGTCATCAAGTAAACAGCTCCGTCTCCTCTGAGGGCACCAGGCTGCCCCAGTTACAATGAGGCACGGGCATTTGCTCAGGGGTTTAAGCTAATGGGAACGTTCAGTCACGAGCCGGCCGAGGCCACTGTTGTGCGTTGTGTGTCATTGTCCCCCCACCCCCACCCCCATCAGAAGAGTGGATGGACTGTGTCCGTCAGTCATGAGCCCTGGCCCACCAGGCAAACCGTCTCTTAGATTGGCCTCAAATAGCAGGAAAGCAGTAGTGGGGCAGAGTCTGAGCCCCAAGCACCCCCACCCCCAAATGTGCACTGTCATTAAGATAAAAAGACAAAATGCCATCAAATTGATGGCTCCAGCTCCTAGTACCAAAGCAAACCCAGGTGTGCTGTCAGCTCTGACACACAGTCAGTCGGGAAGCAGCAGGGTGGGATGCCCCTTTGAGTTTCCGAGACTAAACGGCTGTTGGGTTTGAACCCCCGACCTTGTGGCTAAGCCGCCAAGGGTTACTGACAGCACCACTGAAGCTAGTCAGCATTATGCCCTTCCACGCCCACTGGTGAGGCGCTGGAGTCCTTTCAAAGAGGTCAGACCCCACTCCCCAGGAACAGGAAGATCAGGGTAACAGGAAGCAGTCCTTGCAGGCAGGAAGTCGGGAGGGTGCCCTGTGCTATTTCAGTCGCCACGTTGGCAGTGCAGCCCCGCCGGGAGGGAGTGGAAGGACAGCTGTTTCTGGAAAGACTTCAGAGGACAATTACAAGCCCCCAAAACCAAACTCGCTGTCACCGAGTCAGAACCGACTCAGTGACCCTACAGGGCAGACGAGCCCCGGGGGTTTTCCACACTCACTTGTGATCGGTGTAGTAAGTCCCAGCTTGGTTTTGAACGGTTGACCTCGCAGTTAGCAGGCCAGTGCTTAACCTGCCTCAGCAGAGCTGAGGAGGCTTTTCCACTGGGGGAATAGCATGCATGTAACAAGGGAACCAAGTGCAGGGCGCTCGCTGGTTTGTCAGGACACACTGGCCAAGCCAGTGGTCTGTTGTTGGGGCAGCTGAGGCCCCACCTGACAGGACAGAGCTGCCCCATAGGCTCTTCCTGCCTGGACTCCCTCAGAGCCACCAACCTCACGGTCAGCAGCCACACGTGTCACCTGGCTCCAGCAGGGGCGCCCCAGAGGGAACACTGCAGACCCTGTGGGGCTCCTGCCGTGGGGAACATGTGGGCCGAGGGGACATTTCCGTTGTGCAAGAGAACTTTGCAAGGCAACGAAAGTGCCAGTCCTGGTGCTTTCTCTAGAGGCCATGGCCACGTGCACAGACACACGCCTAGATAGATGGACTTGGATTCACGAGAGGACCCACTCTCGATACACAGAGTTTTACACATCCAAGCGGGCTTCCAAAAGTTTGTGGGGGAAAGTTCGTTGCGTTACCGTTCTGTGTCCAGCGAACTTTTGAAGGCCCCTAGGATAGGCAGTTAGTTAGCATTTCCACGTATGGCTGGAGACCGGAGGCAAACCAGCACCTGTGTCATTTGCTACCGAAAACGCCTGCACAAACACGCTTTTTGACTCTTGTCCCGAGACCAGAAGGGGCTGGGGCCCAGCCACCACTGCTGACCACATGGGTCACAGTTTCTGTAGAATTCTGGGCAGACGGGTGGGAACTCTGGGACAGATTTAAAATCCCATGGAACCCAGATCGTCTGGTGCCACCGAAGCTGGAAGAGCCCCCAAAATAGTTCCCAAAGATGATCTTCAAGCCTTAATCCCTAAACCAAAGAACAAGTCTACTTTAAACCAAAAAACGCACCCCAAACCGAACCTACTGCCATTTAGCCAAGTCCTCGGACCCTTGAGGGCAGAGAACTGCCTCAGGGCTTGCAAAGTGGCAACTCTGAACTGGAGTGGCCCACCTCGTCCTCCCACAGCACCCTGGTCAGTTCTGACCACTGACCTTGAGGTTAGAGGCCGGTGCCTAACCTGCTGAGTCAGTACAGTGCTTGCCCCAAGCACGATGCTCTTTAAAGGCGAGCTCTGGGGCTCGAACTCAGAGCAGCAGCTGGGGAGGCTGGACGGGAAGCCCAGGGGCCTGGAAGAGGTCGTCGGTTGACGGTCAGCAGTCTGAGCAGCAGCTGTCAGATCGACGTGTGTGTGTGTGTGTGTGTGTGTGTACAGCGAGACGGCTCATGTTTTAAAAATCCACCGGTGTCACATGGGGGGGGCGCGGGGTGAAGCTGACATGCCTGCCCTCTCTCGTCCACAGACCAGTTGCGGCCTGAGGACTTCACAGTCTCCCTGGACATGCGGACGCTGCGGAGGGTCACTATGCAGTGGGGAGACTCGCTGGAGGTATGTGGGAGAGGGCCCGGTCCCCTGCCGACGGTCCACGCCGACTGGGCAACCCTGCAGGACTGGGGAGAAGGCCCATGGTCACCCCCCACACCACCGGAGACCCTGCTAGGAAGTGACATCGGGGTCCAACGTGAAGCTGGGTCTGCAAGGCGGACGGTGCCTGTCTCCAGTGCCTGCTCTTTCCCTGACACGGCCGCGGCAGCCGCAAGGGCTCTTGGGGGGTCCTTGAGGGACCCCATGGATGCTCTGGGCGTTTGGGGAACAAAGGAGGATGGGCCGGGAGGTTTCCCCACAAAATTCCCCTAACCGGGAACCAGGCACCCTGCCACAATGATGGAACAAGCTCCTGAGCATTTTCTCGTTTTCTGGAAACTTCTTCCCAATTGAGCCCCCACCTCCCGAACCCCAAGATTGCCTTTTGAGACAATCTCCCAAGATGACGCTTTAGGGATTTCAGGAGAAGCTTCCTCATCACCTTCTGAGCTGACCTCTGGGCCCGTGGGTGGAGCTGAGCCATCAGAGTCCTGCAGAAGCCATAGCTCTGGCTGGGCAGGCGCCTTAGGAAGACTGGGAGGAGCCCGGCCGGCGCAGGGCTCACCTGCTGGGCTGCTCTCACTGCACCGTCAGCAGTTCAAATCCCCCAGTAGCTCCTTGGGAGAAAGATGTGGTTTTCTGCCTCCGAGTCCCACAGGGGCAGCTCGACCCTGTCCTAGGGATCCTGCGAGAGTCATTTGGGTTTGGGTTTTTAAGGAGACTAAAACAGGGGTGTCCCCGGAGAGCACTTGTCCGCAGCCACCATGACGGCAGGGCTGTCACACGTTTTGTTTGGAATGTGCGCATGCGTGCCTGTGTGCGGGAGGTCAGGAGCCCCCGGGCCGACCGGCACCCCGTCCCACCCTGGTAGGAGGCAGTCCCAGCCACAACCTCACTCTAGCAAGCGTCCAGACAGGCTGTTCACCTTTGGCTAGGAAAACCAGGCAGGTGACAGAAACCTGGCCGTGCCTGCGCTCTGCCGAGCTGCGATGCCAACTCACTGCCACCCTACAGGCACAGTAGAACTGCCCCCTGGGCTTCCTACAGGAGCCGGCCGGTGGGTTCGAACTGCTGACCTTGTCTGCAGCACAGCGACGGCAAACGTGGCCTGAGGCAGTCTCACCAGCTATGGGTCCCCGTGTGGAGGGAGGAGGTGTCTGTGATACGGGCAGTAGTGCCACCAATCGGGCATGAGCGCAGGCTGCTGGGCATGGGTGCCGGCAGCCTTGGCAAGGCAGAGGGGCGTGGACAGCAGGTGCAGCAGGAAGAGGCGTGGCTGTGCAGATGAGGGTCCCCGGGCCTCTGTCCACTAGAGCTGGTGGCCACGGTGACCTCTCGGTGGTGTGCACAGGCGAGTTTAAATGGACTGTCCTGACACATGGCCCCCTCTGGAAGCCCGCTTGCTTGGCTGGCCCCACTCCTAAACCCAGTACACTTCCCTGGGCTCCCTGTCTCCCCTCTCTTCCCTGGAGACCTGAATTTTATCCGGAAAAAAAGAAATTGGCATTAAATGGGCATTGGTCATTGTGACAGCGGGACACCCCCCCACCCCCAGCCGGGCCAGGCCGGGCCTGCCCTGGTTTTTCTCGTTACCCAGCCTCTGCCCTGTGCGCTTGGGGATTGCCCCCTCTGGTGGGTTCCCGCTTCTGTGGGTTTGGGGCTTGGACCCAGTGTCAAGCACCCCTCCCCACCCTTCCTTTTCTGTCTCATTTCTAGAAGAAGCAGAAGAAGGCAGAGTAGAGAAATGACAGTTTCTGGAATCGTAAGCCCCACTTCCTGTGGACACCGCCTCATCGCCAGGGGGACGTGGACAATGACGTTCACGTTGTGTGGCTAACAGCTCATCCGGGCCCCCCACATGAAGTCTGTTACCATAGCAACCCGCGCCTGCTGCCGCAGTGGACTGTTCCTCTCCTCCTGCAAGCTGGGTCTCTGTGAAGGCAGCAAAGCTTGGCCTGGCCCCTCCAGCTGGTGGCCAGCTCCTCTGCTGGGGGACCGTTGTTGCAGAGCCTCTGTCAAAACACCCCCGCCACCCCCAGCTGAGTCATGCGGAGGGTGGGAGGTGTAACTCCGAGCAGACGTGTAAGGCAGGTGCACAACCTGATGGCCTGTTCTCAGCCTGACATCAGAAGAAACCCAGTGTGCGTTCTCTTTCCAAGTGTCCGGCTAGGACCCCCGTGTGTGCGTCTGCATTTGACAGGAAGGGCAACGCCGTCTGTCTCCCCCACCCCTTTCACGCGTGTCCATGGAGGTGTCCTCTCCCTCCTCAGTAGAAGTGCGAACAAACCAGGCCACTGCCACCCAGTCAGTAGCCGCTCCCAGCGCCCCTGTGGGACCGGGCAGGGGCCTCAGCTTTGGGAGGTGCAGGTGGACATCCGTGGGAGACTTCTGCCTTGTCCTGCTCAAAGAAGAAAGGCGCACCAGAGGGCTGGGGGACAAGTCTGAACCTGCCCAGTGCCCTGCGGGAGAAAGGCTTGGTTTTCGGCCGTAAAGGTGGCAGCTCAGGAGATCCTGGGGTGGCAGCCCTCCTGTCACACGGTGCCCTCTGAGTGGAATTCCACTCGACACCCAGCCACACAGACTCCTCCCTGGATGTTGGGGGCCGGTCTCCCTACATAGTCCCCTGGGAAAGCATCCATTGTGTTCTGAGGGACCCACTGACCTTGTGAACCTGTGACTGTGTCTCCACGGATGTGCCCGCCCGTTGTAACAGATCCACAACTGGACTGGATCCCGGGGCAGGAGGCGGGCCAAAGGCTCAGTGGATCCTTGCATGAGGAGGACTGGCTGCAGTGGGGCTGCCGGGCCTCGACAACTTGGTCTGGACTTGTCTACCTTCCGGCCCATCCAGAAGTCCTGCTCTTCAACCTCCCCACCCCTGGCAGCAGGCCCACCCAGTGCTGACCCCGGCCCCAGTCCACTGGTGACAGAAGGAGCTGGGCAAATGTGGCCGCCGTTGGTAAGGTGTCGGCATCTACACAACAGGACAAATATGTTGCCTGAACGTTTGTAGGCTTTCAGGAAGAGCGAAGGCACAGCGCTGGAGAAGCTGATGCGCACCAGGACGTCAATCAGACCAGACCCTGAGGCGGGCGGTTGGGAAGGAGGCGCCCAGCCTAGCAGCCTGAGCAATTCCTCTGACCTGGGGCTGAGACAGCCCAGGCACCTTGTAGCTGCGTCTTGGGCCAACATGGGCTCTGCTCTAGCAGACCCAGGGCCCCTGGTGGTGCAGCGGGTTATGTGTTGGGCTGGTAACCACAAGACCTACAGTTCAAATCCACCCTCTGCTCCCTGGGAGACAGAGGAGGCTGTGAAGACAGGTCAGCGGCTGGGGGAAGCCCCCGAGGGCTGTGAGTCGGGACCGGCTCCGGCAGTGGCCTCAGCTGTGATGCTACTGGTCTTTCACCCTCCTCCCGTTCTCTGCGGGCTCCTGTCCTGTCTGTTGCTCTGACTCCCGCTCCCCTGCAGGCCCCTCGCCCCTGGGCAGGACTTGCCTGCCTTTGGTCTGGGCTGGTTTCAGGGTCGGGGTCCCAGGACCAGTGGGCAAGCACCGCAGGCCAGCACATGCTTGGCCGGTGCCTCCAGACCCAGGAAGCTGTGTGCATGTAGGGCCCTGCAGGTGCCGCCTTTATGTGCCTGGGCGCCAAATGAAAGGTTAGGCCCTGAGCCCACCTGGCGGCTCGTAGAGAGAGGCCTGGCCCTCTGCTCCCGTGAAGGTGACGGCCTGGGACCCCTGTGGGGCACCTGCACTGTCCCATCCACGGGTGGCAGTGAATCAGCATCGGCCCCACAGCCCCCAACAGCAACAGTCACCGTGTGGGAGTCGCGTCTCCATGGCTGTCGGGCACACACACAAACACACTCCGGTTCGTGGCCAGTCCAGGGGCAGAGCTGCCCCCTAGCATGTCCTCGGCTCTGAGCCCACACTGACCTTCTAGCGTGCAGCCGAGCACAAACTGCTCTCTGGAGACAACAGAAGGGACCGGGCGTTTCAGTGCCAACAAGTCCATGCCGACTCGGGGACCCTCTAGGACAGGGTAGAACTAGCAGTCCCTGTGGGTGTCGTCACGGGAGCAGAAAGCCCCACTTTTCTTCTGCCACCAAACCAAAGGCACTCCGTGCCATCGAGTCCATGCCCACTGGGGACCCTCTAGGACAGGGTAGACCTGCCTCGTGGGTTTCCGAGACGGGGAGTCTTCACCGGACCAGCTGATGGTTTCAAGTTGCGAGGCTATGGTTCGCTGCCCACCGTGCCACCCCGGCTCCCCACCCCCTGCCGCGTGTGTTTGAAGTGGCTGGTCTGTCCCTAAAGACTCCCAAGTCTGTCACCGTTCTATTTGATCTCCATTCCGGTCCCAGTGGTAAGGAGTCTGGAGGGATTTCTTTGTCTTTTTGTTTTGTTTTTTTAAAGCAGCACACTGTATAGTTAGCTACACAGCCCATCACAAGCGACGTCAACAACAATATCCCCTGGAACCCTCCATATATGTTTCTCTCCCGCCCCCGCCCCCCCATCTGCCCTCCCTCCTTCCTCACTCAGTGCCCTCTGCCCCCCCTGCCCTGTTTCCTCCCCGTCCGTCCCTGCCGCCTCCTAGGCAGCAGACTTCCTCTTCCAGTTCTCCTTGTAACAGCGGGGGGGATTCCGGATCTGCCTTTGTGAGCTTGGCCAGTGTGTTGAGCATAGTGTCCATGTCTCACAGTACCTACGAGAGTTGTTGCTTTTTATTGACACAGACGATCCCATCGTATGGCTGTACCGCAGTTCCTTAGCCATTCCTCTATAATTGGAGTTTGGGGTTGTTTCCGTGTTTTTGCTGTTGTGGAAATCCCTACAATAAACACAGGTGTGCATCTGTGTGTCCGTGTCCCGTACTTTGTTTCTTTTCCACGGTTAATTGCTTATGCTGGCGTTCTTGTACCTTCGGGCATGTGGCCTGCTGCGTGCAGTGCGTGCATTGTTCCGGGAAGCGCCACGCTGATTCCCGTTGTGGTTGTGCAGACCCACAGCCCCCCAGCAATGCAGAGGCTTCCTCGCTCTCGGCGAGGACTGTCTGATTTAGTTCATGTTGCTAGGAGTGTTGGTGTGAGGAGCCATCTCGGTTTTCTAACTGGTGTTCCCTTACTGCTAATGACCTCGGACACGTCCTCATGTGGTTGTTGGCTGCCTGGCAATCGCCTCTTCTTGCCACGTGTCCACTTTTTGATTGGGTTATTGTCTTCTTCTTGAGCTGTAGTTTGCTCTAGAATTTGGCGACTAGCCCATTATCTAACGCTTCGTTACTGAGTCGTTATCCCGGTCTGTTCTTTTTTAACCCTTTTGATGAGGCCTTTTGTTGCGAGTGAGTGTGGTGTTTGCAGTCGGCCCCAGTTCCCTATTTTATCTTCCTCCGTGTGGATATTTTCCATTCTGTCCAGTCGTGGGTCTGTACCTTGCATTAGCGTCTCTTGGTTTGCCCCTGTTTTCCTGCCGGTGCATTTTAGGGTGGCGTGGATGTTAGGATGGTGTGGGTTTTATGACGGTGTGATTACATTTAGGTCTTTGACTCGCCTTGAGGTTCCTTCTGGACCTGGTATTGAGGCAGCAGGAGCCCTGCTTCATGCTTCTGCAGAGGAAGATCCACCACCAGGGCTTCTGATAACACAGCGAGTGTCAGGGGTGTTTCAGGAGGCGTGGGCCCTGGGTGGGGCCATTCATCACAGCACCTGAAGCTGGACTGCTGCACCCCAGCCCTGTCCCCACCCAGGCCTGGGCCAGTTGTTCTCACCTGCGGTCCAGTCCGCTCCCTCTGACTCCTAGCGACCCTTTACACCAAGGAGCCGTCCCCAGTCCCTCACCCTGCCTCCTCCAGACCCTCCTTTCCAGACAAAGGGGAAGGGGTGTGGCCCTCCCTCCCGGCTGTAAAGGTAGCTCTTTATCGTATTTTTT